CAGTGTTGCCGCAATGAAATTTCAAAACGTACTGAAGCACCTTCAAAAAATGTACTATTTTCCTTCAAAATGTACTAGTTCTATGAATACTTTGTTTACGTGCCTATATATATATATATATAGGCACATAATTTATATACTGTATATAGTTTATTGTCATATAATTTAATTTTAAATCTTATTTTTGGAATTTTTTGAAAGCTATTAAAAATATATCTACACATCTATTACTTATTATAAAATGAGCATTACATTGACAACATTTATTAATAATACTATTGAATTTCATCTTAATTTTATAACCATTCGTGCTTTAAAAAAATAATTATACATATATTATATTATTATATTCTTGTTTGCTTAAAACATGCGACTCAAAAAAACCCCAAAATGGCGGCTCAAGAAGTAGAACACGCGTGTCCTGGCCTTCTTATATAGACCTTGAACAGTCGGAAGCGCGGCCATTTTGGAACCACACGTAACATTAATCGTTATTACTTTTACTACGATTACTAAAATTGAAGTTCATAATTTAAGAATTAAATTATAGTGGTAGAAAATAATATAAAAGTATTTATAATATTTATACTCGTACAATTTCAAAACTATTTTCTGTAATAATTTGTTTCTGACTTAACGGATATTTTGATATTATTGACGACAAAAGTTTAAAATCATCGATTTCCTTACCTGTCCATTATTTTTGTTTGACGGAGTTGAATTGTTTGGACCACGTGGCATGAAAAATTTTGTCAAGGTCCTGATGAGAATGTGCAGATAACTGAACGTGTGAAAAAAGACCACTGAGTCAAGATCGTTTACACGTGCAACTAAGGCGTTACGTGCAACTATCTATGTTGCTGACGTCGACGCACGCATACCATTTGTATGTTGTGATTGGATAATTTAAATTAGCAAGCAGTGACACTAGTGAGACTTTATTAAACTATTTTTTTCTCATTTTTTCGTTAAGGCGTGAAATATTATTTTGTATCGTAAATGGTACTTGAAATATTGTAATGTACTGAAAATGTACTAAAAATCTAAATGTACTGAAAATGTACTAAAAATCTAAATGTACTTTCAATTTACTGGAAAGGGCAAAATGTACCAGAAAAGTACAAATGTACTAGGAACGGCAACACTGTAGCCCGGACGGCCCCAGGCTTTCGCCCGTGCACGCTAATTGACTTTCATTACAAGCATTTAGCTTTCCGAAGTCTATGACGACAATTGTTTGGTATTGACGGGCGTGAATTTCGTGCCAATAAGCTGCCTCGACTTGTTCGATTATGTTATCGACTCAATTTCATATTTATTTTCACATTTTCATATCGCGGTCCTTCTCTGTTCTTTTTTCGTTATTTACAAGTGTAGGTCATTTGATATCATCATTTATCACATACTTCCATGACACTCTTGTCTGTCGGCTACAACTGCCAAGAATTAACGCGATTGGCGAAGCCTAGTGACAGCAGGCCAATAGAGAGCAGGATCCTTGCCATAATGCGGTTTGCGCGCCAATTTTCGTACGTGCGTTAATCAAGCCGAATAGTTTGGCCGAATATTCGGCTATTCGGCCACACTCCTGGCCGAATATTCGGTATTCGGCCTGAGGCTGAATATACTATTCGTTACAACACTAAACAAAATTTCTGTAGGTTTTTAATAATAAAAGGAAAATTTAATTTTCAGTATTATTATTTCTGTATTATCTTGTTTTCAAAATATATATTAAAAAATTGGTACTTTTATTTCCTCTGTGTACGACACAGAGGAAATAAAAGATTTTAGTACTTGCCAATCTTAGGAAATGCCGCATAAATTAATAATGATTTGGGGAACTACTTGGGGAAAAATTTAGAATGCACTGGATTGATATGAGAAATGAGAGTTTGAATATTTGAAAGTTCGAAATAACATTTATCACATATTTCTTTGTCAATATAATTTGATATGGCACAGATCCAATCAGATCCAATCCAGAAAATAGTATTAACTGATCGAAAGAAATGGAAAAACATATTTCATGAAATTTGTAATTAAACAATTTTATTTCAGAGCATATTTTATACCCCAATTTGTTTACTCTAAACGTTAAACTTATTCGAAAAATTGAATTATAGACGTAATTCATAATCTTACATTAAAAAATAAAATAAAATAATTTTCATTGTGTATTTTAAATTATCCTTGTATTTTATCTATATTCTCATTGTTAAATAGTATTAATTTTTGCATAGATAAAATTTTTAAAGCAAAATTATTGATTTAACTTAAAGGCAATTTTGTTATTAAACGCTATATTTAAATCTATTTAGCACTTCGTTTTTAAAAATGAAGATTTAATTCTTGGTTATTGAAATGAATACCGAAATTACATTTCAGAACAGGATATCCAGAACCTAACTTATGGATTAGTGAACCAGAGCTCTTGAAGTACATCTTAGTAAAGGATTTTCATATATTCCGAAACAGAATAGTAAGAAATCTAAATAATTACTCGCTTATTTATATTAGCTTTTAGAAACATTTAAATATATTTTTAATACCTCTTATTATAAAATTAACATCAACTTAGCAACTTATACTAATGAAATTTATGATGTTCTCAAATAGATCTATTTGGAAAGTAACATTGTATTTATTCTGCTGATTATCCAAAGGCAAAATAAGTAATATTAAATATAGTTTTCGAAAATGCAGATTATATAAAACTTTGTCTGATTAAAGTTATTCGATTATATGTAGTAAAACTATCGGCTGAACAAATATAGCGTTATCTTCAAATATTGTAATTAAACAATGTCATGAAAAAGTTTTTACGCTCTAGTTAATTCCATTAACATCTATAATGTTTATTTTAAAATGTATTGATATAATCTTTTAAAAGACAAATGGCTTAATGTGTGGGCCGAGGGAGGGAAAAATTAAAAAAACAAGCTCAATAAACGATAATATGTGATATATGTCGTCATCGTCTCCCTTGCCGTCTGGACTGCCGAGCGGTAACAATCAACCAATGTGGAAGAAGTTGAGTCAGAGATGGATGCCTCGTTTACAACACAACCCGTTTATTAAACACGAAAGAAGCTTACAAGATTTCCGCGATCTTGGAAGTTCTGCGGCGGCTGCGGTCTGTGGGTCTTCCTCTCCTTTCCAAGATAGTCCCATTTTGAAGGAGTGTCCCTTGTTCGCAAATGAACAATTCCATCACGTTCGACGACTCCGGGACGATGAGGTCGACTTCCGTTGATGGAAAGATGTCGATTCGAGGTAGGGAGATGGAGACGAAGATAGGTGCGAGACACACACACAACAATAGATCCGTCACTTGAAACTTTCGGGAGAAGAAGCCGTCGCGTCCTTGAATGTCCGGGGTTTTATCCGTTTTCCTCCGATTCCACTTTCCCATTGGTCTCTCCTTGTCACCTGATGACAATTCGAAACCTTTCGGGGACGCGGGAGAGGTCAAAGTCGAAGTTTAATTTGATCTCCAACCGGAGATGGTCGACGGACTTACATTCTTCTATTGTTTAAAAGTTAGTGTCGCGTTTTCATTAAAAAAAAAAGAGAGAGAGATCTATTTCTAACTACTATATTTTTTCCTCTAAAACAAAATTATTTTAACGCGAATTTTAGTGAAGGTTCGGAGCTGTCCAGAGTCTCACATTAATAGTGTCGGGTGTCCGATGCTCGCGAAATAAAAAAATTCATTTATTATTTCAACGGAACAATTAACATCGTTGCAAATCCCGAGCTAATTAAATTAATTTATTTATTGTTACAAAATGTAGGAAAAGTCCCGAAAGACAAATAACATCCACCCCAAAAATAAAAACGAAAGTATACAACAAGTTTGAATTCTTAAAGAAAATGTTAGACTGAATTTAGTTCAAAAAACAAAAGAAAAAAAAACCGCAGTTTGACAAACTAATGTGTAATTTAATTGCTGAAGAATGATATAAGGTTTTTGAATCATATTATTATACAGAAAATAATTTCTTTTTGTATAGTAATATGTTCTAAAATACAATGAAACAAATTGAAAAATCATTTTAATATATTTTTAAAAATTAAAAGAAATAATGCTTTCATTGATCAATGTGTGTGATTGGGGTGTGGAATGGTGCGATCCCCCCACTATACCGTATGTAGTGCATTTACAGATACCTAATTTACGATTAAATTCGACATTTGGTTATGTTTATAGAGTTCGTGTGAGAACATCTCCTAAATATCATTAAAATGCATTGTCATGGGGCATAGATATGTCCTCAATGTTTCAGGCTTCTATTTTCATTATAAGTGGATGAAATTAAATTTTGCAAAATTTGAACACCGCACATAGTAAGTTAAATAAAAGCTTTAATAAAAATGATTTAGCGTTGAAAAAATAATATAAAATGTAGATATTTTTTGTTTCGCTTTTGCTATCTTGATAATTATACTTAATATTTAGTAAATTATGCGCAATAAAAAATTAGAAAGCATTATGTTTAATCATCGAAGCGATAATAATCTTCTGTCTAAATGGAAATGAAGTTTTTTTTTTTTTTACAGTTTTAAAGAGAAACAGATTAAAGTAAAGAACGATAATTTTTAGATTTGCAGTCATTTATTNGAATTTTTATTTATTAGTTACATTGTTTTCAAAACCATTTATTTCTTTCTGTCTGTAGACACCTGTCAAATAATGTGATGACATATACCACTGTGTCATTTGCAGTTGTTGTTTCAATGTAGATTAATGATTCATACATAATTCCAAATATTGGAAAATGGACTACTTTTGTATAAAATAAATTCTGCAATCAACTGCATTATTATTATTCAAGCATTGAAACATTACACTCTGAGAAGTGCCTTCATGTTGAGTGTGTATACAATTGGTAGAGTTTGACTATTTGAATTAGTTCAACCAGCATTGGGATCAGCCAGCAACTATTGAGAATCACTGTCACAAACTACTAGTGATAAATTGAGAAATCTGTGTTTGATTCAGACTAGGCACTATGTAGCTAGCACAACTTGTTACTTATCTTTACTTTATTGATCCAATTTGTCTCGGACATATAATATCAATCGTGTATTTGTACCAATGTGTCATGGAATTGCCCTGGGTCCCACGCAATGAAGGCGTGCTCCCGGGCACAAGAATTACCATACTTACATTAATAAATCTTCAGTAATAAATGTATTCAATAATAAATGTCCAGAGAATTGTTGGAACGATTGTTTAATTCTTGAATTGTTTACGTCAAACTTTTAGCGATATATGACTATTAGTTTTTTGTTATAAAATAACTTGAATTACATAAGCTATTTAAATAGTTCAGTGTTAAGCTGAGTATCGGTATCTTTTGTTGTGTTATTCGCAATTTTGTTACAATGAGAATACATTTTTTTTAACTTGTAGAGTTCTGAAACCTTTTCTCAGCAGTAATTTCTCGGGTATGGAAGTATTTTAAATTATTTGGGATCACCAGGTATTAGTTATTTATGAATTTGTAAAATTATTTTAAATTCTTTCTTAAAGTATGTAAATAGCTGAACTAACTTGAATATCTTTGAAAATAAATATAATAACATTTAATATTAGAATTCGGTGTTAAGCTGACCTTACCATATCATCACGACGCGACTGAGTGTTCATTGCAAGTTTGACATTGTAATGTATACGGTACAATACGTTAAATAGTTTATCCAAGCTTCACGCTTCTTTGAAGCGCTCGCTTGCACGACGAATCTACTTGAATTCCGCGTGTCATAGAGTGGAGTGAAAGAAGAGCAGCGGCGTGTCGTCCTTGGAAGCGGTGGAAGCGCCGCTTCCCTCGTATTTTCTAAAATATAAATACATATTGCGCGATTATTTTCATATTTTAACGTACTTTAAATTAATTAAAATTAATATTTTATTATAACTGCATTATGTATCTTATTATAAATTTCTATACTACATGAGGGAAAAAAAACGATAAAATTGCAATTGTATATTCGAATATCGGTGGCGGAANTATAATAATGCAGTTGATTGTAAAATTTATTTTATACTTTTGTATAAAATAAATTTTGCAATCAACTACATTATTATTATTCAAGCATTGAAACATAACACTCTGAGAAGTGCCTTCATGTTGAGTGTGTATACAATTGGTAGAGTTTGACTATTTGAATTGGCTCAACCAACATTGGGATCAGCCAGCAACTGATGACAATCACTGTCACAAACTACTAGTGATAAATTGAGAAATCTGTATCTGATTCAGACTAGGCACTATGTGGCTAGCACACAATTTGTTACTCATCTTTACTTCATATTTATGTACACTGCAGAACAACATAAAAGAAGTTGAAATTACAGATAGATTGCAATTATGACTCAGTTTTTGGTTCAAATATTTTTACTTCTAAGAAAACCATAGGAACTTTACATTTGGTGTTTGGTAATGGTTGCTGCCTTAGACAGCTGGATGTTTCAGATAATTAAAATGTCAGCCTACCGATCTGGGATCGAATCTGGGCAATCAAGAAATCCCGAAAGATTTTCAGGGATCAAATGTCCTGAATATGTCAGCTTCCTTTCCTCACTACCTGAATGTACCATTGTGGGTCTGGCCGAAACTATGACAGGTTATGATTAAGAGCGTCAGGGCTTAATCAAATTTAAAAAAATGGTGTTGCCACTTCTTAACAGGCACAATTTGAATGCTTGAATTTGAAAATGGCCACAGTCAAGAACAAGTGAGATTCGTTCATTAAAGTGCTTTCTGAACAAGGATTGTATTTTCTTGTGGTTGTTAAAGCTCTAAAAACCAAAATAATAACTTTTTCAATCAACTCTCATTAGAATCACCAGCAAATGTGACAAAAAAAACATGGCATTGCTCTTAGTAAGTCACCATCACCTTTTTCAAGAGTTTGAAATTGCATACCTGCAGACAATAACAAACAAGTGAAAAGACTGATTAGGAAGGAAAATGTACAAAGTGAACAAGCAGTAGTAAAAAAGAACCATACCTTCAAGTTTACTGTGCAAATAATCTGTCAAACTTACAAGGTAAATCTAAGAAAATGACTTTATTGTGTTGCCTCATTTCAAAGGGAAACAAAGACCAAAGTGCCAAAAAAATAGAAAATTAATGTGGTCCACTACATGTTATATGTCTTGGAGCGATATTATCCTGGAGAAAAGCACAAAGTTATCTTGCATCATGATAAGACCTCCAGACATACTGCCAGATTTATCGCTGGAACATTGAGGCGAACCAATGCTTTCAAAGAACGCCACCAAGTTGCCATCATCAGTTGTAAGAATCTGCTTTTGCATTGGATTCCTGAAGCGGCAACTGTTTCATCAGAAAGCCTCCACCGAAACAGGACTTTGGATAATGATTAAGAGGGAAGCACTTAAAGAACTGCTGAAAGATGTAGAGAAGTGTTCGATTCTTGAAAGTGACATTGCAGTTATTAGCTGAATACACTGATTCAGCTAATTGGATCTCGAATAATTATACAAAACAGAACCTCGCGTAAACAGAACCTCAATTTTTGCTTGGCGGAGATCACTGCCGTTACGGCAGTGATCTCCGCCAAGCAAAAATGTCACTGACTGACTATATATATTTATTTACACAGAAGAAAAAGGAAAAATAAACTTAATGCAGTTATCATATTTCTTTTCTTTTTCTTAATTATTCATTTCTCAATTCTTAATTATGAATTGAATTATATAATGTTTAGTTTTAAACTCAATCTAATTTCTTCTAGAATTTTCATGATAATATGATTGATCTATATAAAAGAAATGGAAGAATATTCGGGTAAATCATTTTTATCATTTAATTTATAAATATTTTTATTTTTAAATGTACTTTTCAATCTTACCNTATTATAACTGCATTATGTATCTTATTATAAATTTCTATACTACATGAGGGAAAAAAAACGATAAAATTGCAATTGTATATTCGAATATCGGTGGCGGAATGGAAGTGCTGCATTGTCGAATACGGGACAGCTTCCTCAGCGAAAATATTTGAACGGTGTAAAGCAGTCAGATTATAGGCATAGCACCAACCTCACGAGGTTTAGCTGGTGGATGCTACACACCAAAATATGGTATAACGCTTCCAATGATTCTATCCAGGACTGGTTCCGGGCTGTTAGCCGCCTGCCCGCTAGATATCTGGCCGCCCTCGCCCCATTATGTGAACCGCGAGTAGGTTTATAACTTAACCCAACAGATAGGAGTTTACTAGTATGTTTTTATGATAGTTCTGTATAGTTGACAGGGGTTTAAAAAAATCCATTAAAATATTTGATATATATATTCTGCTCTTATTTTGCTTTCCCATCGTATATTATTTACGGACTTCAATGTTAAACCAGTGATGCTGCGATTTCGTATGTCCCATCTATAAGGGGATGTAGAAAAAAACGTGTACAATTCTTGTACAATACAATGTTAAAAATTAACTGTTGCTTTGGCAGCATCATTTACAAGTAAATTTAATGAATGAGAGAGATGCACGAGGTACAGAAAAAGCTCTAGAATTTATTTTCCTTAAATTTACGATTTATGTATCCGTTTGTCATAAAAATTTGTCTTTCCACTTTTTTCCCGAGACTACAAATATTCGAGTACAAAGTAACCGGTTTCGACTTATTTCTACTTAAGAAGTAGTTAANATAATGAAAATTAATTAACTAAGGATTTTTTTGCCCTGCAGGGTGTGGCCGAGTTATCCGGAGTGCTGGGTTATCGAGAGCCGAGTTTTCGAGGTTCTACTGTATTTTCATAATAAAAATAAAAATTGATGTTATATCAATCCATATTTTATATAAATTATTAATAGTCTATATATTAATTAACTAGGATATCTCTTATCAGTAATTATAATTCTTAAATATTTATCAGCAATGTTAATTCTTAAATTACACTAGAAAATTTACAAAAGTTAATTTTTTTTAAACCTCTGGCATTAAAACAGGAAATTTTCATAGAAGAAAAATCCTCGATTCCAAAAATCGCTTTCAGATTTTTCGATCACGCAAGATCAAAAGAACAGAACATCTTTGTATAATGGTAGGCATACAGAAGAGCATATGGATATAGCACATATATTGTACAGTACCTATGAAAATCATTTTAATGTGGTTATGTTTCTCTACTTTCATTTTATTTTTCATAAAGTTTAAAAGATCAGAATGACTCTCAAGTCATTATATTTATTATATTTATTTTTTGTTTTATATCATTTTGAATATTGTCAGATATATCAGGATAGAAATAATCTTTCGACTCTCAATATTTCCAAAATTTTGCACCAAAACTATCTGATCTATAAGTACATTATGACTTCTATTCATATTGATATTTATTTGGATCTAAGTTTTTTAACACATGGTGAATGATAATAGAATAAAATAAAAGAATAAGTTAAAAGATCGACCATTAACAAACGAGTGAAGGCGGATTCTTACATTGGCCGACTATACCGACTATACCTGATGTTTCTAAAGCAAAAATTTACTATAATCTATTCTATTACAGTTGTTATAGAGTCTTATAATTCTGAAGATTTATCTTGTTGATCCTAAATGAAGATTTATTTTTCAAAGAATCTCAACCAAAACTTAGCAACGAAACTCAGTTCTGGTTTAAAGCGCTTTAAACAATATGTTCAGTTTAGGAACACGGAATATCAGTTTCATGTTTCGGATTCTTGTTTTACTTCACTGAAAGTGCTTTCTGTGATATTAAATTAATTCCTAATATTGATGGTGTTACATCATCTACTTTACGTTGGTATCTGATTCACAGAAACCTGATGTATAAGATTTAATAACTAAAAATTAGTGATGTAACGAATATTCGGTTACTATTCGGTATTCGGCCTATTTTTCACTATTCGGCCGAATACCGAATACCTAAAAACAGGAGTAATAAATAACAAAAACACAGTAAATTAATCATTTTGGTATTTAGATTTNAACTACATTTAAAGAATTAACTGATCGCCCCTGGAAGTCGGCTTCTTACAGAAACACAGCTTCCCTATCATCAAATGTCACGGCACGCCATTGGAGAACAGGCAGTTCAGTTTAATGAAGAAAATGTGTTGAAATATGATTGTAGTCTGTTGAGTGTAGTGTCACTGTTCGCAATTCTTCAATCACTACCTTTTGTATTCCACCATGCTTGACGGAGGAATTTCTAGTATACAATAAATGCACACAGGGCCGTTAATAAGGAATAGACAACGACAATGACATCGCGTGAAGCGCGTTAGCCAAGCAAATAGAACATATGAGGCTATTTGAATTCCTACTCGTAATTGAAAGTTGAACATATGCACTGACAATTCCACTTTTCGGTTTTTTCCAAGATTTGGAAGTTTTTGAGGTAATTTTGGGTTATATCTTCTTGGGCAGGGCGGATCTACATAGGGACTAATAGGGCTTAAGCTCTGGGCTCCCAAGTGTCAAGGACCCACAAAAATTGGATTATTATAATTTTAATACTTCATTAACAACGAGCTCTTATCGTATAGTAAAAAGATTAATAATATAAATAATAATGATAAATGGGGTATAATTAGACTTCTATAAGCCCTAGGCCCCGAAAAACCTAGATCTGCCTCTGATTATGACCATTGAATTTTACATGATTTTGGATAGTTGGATGCAGTGATACGAAGTATGTCACAACTGTACCAAGGCGGCCATACACGTTAAGTTAATCCTTTGAGGCTGCCTGACCTTGGGGAACTTCAGAATTTCCTATCGCCCACAAACGAAGAAGAAAATCTCCCAGCAGAGGCGTAGCTAGGGTGAGGCAAGTAGGGCACGTGCCCCGGGCGCCACTCGCAGAGGGGCGCCAAATGGTCTCCAAGACAAATAAGATTTGTTTCTGGAGGGGATATAGTGTCGTGCCCCGGACGCCAGTTATGTTCGCTACACCATTGTCTCTCAGTCAGTCCAGTCAGTCGGCCATGGCATACTGGCTGTTCTTGGATGTTTATTGGCAACAAATTCTAAAACTCGCGGGAAAAAGTATGCATAGAAGTCTATGGTGTAAATAGTAGTAGTGGTTTGGGTAGTACTGATCACAAAATTAATTTTTCATATGAATAATTTTTTAATGGAATTATTTCAGATCACAAAATTAATTTTTCATGTGAAAAATTTTTAATGGAATTATTTCAGATCACAAAACTAATTTTTCAAGAGAAATCTTGGGCTATATATTCTGTTAAAAAGCATCAATTATCAGCGAAAGATCAATGGCAAGTCGATTTTACTACCAAAAAATTCATGGATTAAATTTTATAGACGAATGTATATTGATAATTCTCAACCACATCCGATATTAGTACAAATTGTAAACATTATTATCGCAAATTAATTTTATAATTTAATAATTAAAAAGAATTNAGTAAAACTACATAAATTATTTTATAGAAATTTGAGTTTGGAGATCCAATGCTTGATAAAATGTTATCTGTACTTACTAACGAAGATTGGAAGAGAATTCGAAATTTCATGAGTCCCGCTTTTACTAGTAGCAAGATAAGAAAAGTAACTCATGTTAAAATATATATTTATATATATAATATAAATTCAAATATCGTATTAACTAAACAGAAAATTTAATTATCAATTTTTGTTATATTATTCTGATAAACTTTCTTTTCTGTTCGTAGATGACGTATCTAGTTAAGCAATGTACAGAAACTTTATGTAAGCATTTCGAAGAAATGGCTGAGAAAGGAGAAGAATTTGACTGCAAAAAGTATATTATAATAAGATAAGATAAATTCTCAATATTAAGTTAAAAAGTAATAAAATGTTCAAACACAGCATGCAAAATATTTCATACGCAGATTTAAATTACTGTATAAAGTATATAAAATCCTTATATATAATCTTATTAATTCCAGAAAGATAATTAATTTCATGTCTTAACTAAATAGATATGTGGTGTTTAAATTAATTTCAGGAAAATCATTGTTTAATTGATCAACCCTTAATTGAAAATAACATTTACGAGCTTAAATTTTTTAACATTTCAGAAACGTAAATGATCGTTTCTTTCACCTAATAAATTTATAAGATTTATATTTATTTGGAAATTTTAGACGTAAATAAGGATAGTTAAAATTTTAAAAATGTTTGTGTTTAACGAATTACATTTGCCGTGTAATGTTTCAGTTATATATTAACTTTCATAATTTCATATTCTGCTAATAAAGCTTCTCTTCAAATGGCATCACGTCTTAAATGAATGTAATAGGAAAAAAGAAATACATTGGTGTTCAAAATTAAGAGAATATGCACATTTTTCGAATTTCTGAAAAACTAATGGACACATTTGATTAAAATTTGCTATGGATACACAGTTATTTAAGATGAAAAGTATACTATACAGAAATGGTATGCACTAAAGTATAACAGTTATCGTATGTACTTATGATCGTCAATAAGGCTCGTCAACGCAGGAATACGTTGCAGGATCGAACATAAAATGACCCTAATATGGGTTATAGTCTCCTCTCACAGTCATATAGCTCTCATATCGCGACGTCATAATGGAAACGAGGCAGCTGATGAGTTCCTGTTTCAGTCGGTACCGCTCTGGCAGCAACACAGTTTCCATCTCCTGGGTGGTTCTCAGAGGAGATTTCGAGCTGCAATTGCTCTCAAAAGCGTCCCAGAGATGTTCAATAAGGTTTAGGTCTGGCGATCTGTCTGGCCAATCTATTCGGCGAATATCCTCACTTTCAAGATAATTGTCAACCAGGTGAGGTCTATGTGGACAAGGTTGTCGTCTATAAAAATAAACCGAGGGCCAACTGCGCCCCTGAAAACGAACTATAGTATCTAATTCTCATATTTCTCAGCAGTCAAAGAGACTCTGTCAAACACACGGAGAGATGTGCGGCCGTCCAACATGATACCTGCGTAGACCATGACACTCCTCTGACATAGCTGTTCCTTTCTTGAACGTTGGAGGAAATGTACCGCGTCCCAGATATTCACCAGATGAGGGTGTGTCGAGAATCCGTCTCCAGGCTGAATCGCGACTCGTCTATGAAGAGAATGTACTCACTGAAGTCTGTTTCAAGGCTGATGTCTTCAAATTCGCTCTCTTGTGTGCTGAAATGAGCAGGATGCAAACAGCGGGTCTTGTGGCAAAAAGCCCTCTTTTATGAAGCCTCCGAGAAAAACTAACCGTTGAAACTGTTTCCATAAATTGAAGATAACACTGGACGTTACATTGAGCTCTGTAGCAACCTACACTTGTGAATGCCCCGCATTCAATCTACCCACGATTCTCTATCTCATTCCGTCATCAAGACTTTTTTGGTACTCATTTTACCTGATTGCTTATGAAATTGAACCAACTCTTGCATGAAAAACAAGTAGGAGTGAACTAATTGCGGACAAAGCCACGTGTGCTTTTCATGCCCTCTGCTGTAAAAGCTGTGCCCACACATACACACGTGTAAGCTTACGTATTCAACACTAAAAATTTGTATTTATATTCGGTGGCATAATTTGTACTTTCGGTTCATTACTTTTTGTTCAAATCGATAAAATGCGCAAATTCTCTTAATTTTGAACCAGTGTATATCGAACTTGCTAATTTTCTAGACATAATTTGAAATAATATAGTTTTGTCTTGTAAATTGCATTTAAAATATAGAAAAACATATCGAATTTACAATCAATAAGTTAAATGTTTTCAAATATGTAATTAATATTACACAAATATCAAAGATTTGATATTTAAGATATAACGCAAGAGGCCGTACTGTACAATATATCAAACCTTTGTTGTGTTTTTCCATCAGTTAATTTCTATTTGATATGAGTGTATTTATTTATTGTTTTGTCAATGTTCCTTAAATTGCAAAGATATTTAAAACGATTGCAAATAAACATATCAAAATGATTTTGAAGTTAAATTGATATATTCTGTATTATTGTACAGTACAGTCATACCCTATTGAAAAAAGTCGAAAGAACTTAAAAATTGGCATTTGTATTAACAAAATTTGCATTAATCGAACTCGTTAACATTGAAATGCCTATCTTTCCTCGTCCATGCAACCGCAAATCTTACTTAGCATTATCCGATAACGTAATAATGAGGTTTGATTATATTTAGCTTTTTATTTTAATACTGTATTTATTTTTTTATTTTAAGTCTTGCTTTCAAAATGGTCTTAATAAATAATGCGTATTTCAATGATGAGTAACAATCAAAAATGTCCCGATTCATGCTACTCATCATGGAATCACGATAAAATCCCTAAGAAACTTTTCGAACTAATTTAAATTATTAATTAAATTTTCTTTTAAATTGTATAATGTCAAGTAATATCTAACAAATTTATAGAGGTTACTTTTCATTTATTAGCTTTTATTTTTATAACCTGTATCAGGGGTGGCCAACAAACAAGTCGATCACGAAGCCAATTTTGGTCGATCGCTCGCGATGTCTTAAATTAATGTATTATACTTGTAACCGAATGCAACGCGTGAACGTAACGCACAAACGCAACTGTAGTGATTTAGGACCTCCGCGTCCTCCCTCAGATGCTGTTTTGTCGGTCCATGTGCAATCCATTTGCGTACAGTACATTTGTAAAAGGGGAATAAGAAATGTAGACAAAGGGTCATAAAACTGAAAAAGAAAGGTGGGAAAAGGGACAGAGAGAATAGGTCGGGACACGGTAGAGAGAGGAAGGGTGAAGTGGTGGTCCCCGAAAGTGACAACGTTGTGTTTCAATTTTTCTTCTGTTTAGAATGTAAGTACCTTTTCTTCATGTTTTAAATTAAATTGTGGCTTCTCTTACCTATCTAAACATAGTATGTATTTCACACCTCCCCCTCGCCGCTTAGGTTATGCCTACGATAACAAGTCGATCGTGACACACTTTTAAGATAAAAATAGATTTTATGTACACAAAAGTTGGCCACCCCTGATTTATATCATGTAACATTAAAATCTTAATCGCATCTCGCTAATTGTTTAAAAAAATCTTACATTCAAAATGCTTAATAATTATAATTTATAATGCATTTGTTGTTTTTTTATAGATATATGAGTGCATTCATTATCGATGTTATAGCATCTACAGCTTTTGCCACCAAATTGAACGCACAGGAAAATGAAAATAGCGAATTTGTGAAATATGCACGAATGGTTTCAAACAGGGATTTTCCAAAGTTAAAACTTTTGGCATGTTAGTTAAATTTATTTTATCACAATCTATATACATGAATGAGGATGTTTGTTTGTTTCTTCGCTGTGCACGCCTAGGCCGTTCGAACAATTGCTATGAAACTCGGCAGTTACGTTCAGAATATCCCACTCCAAATTATTGACTGGGCTTCTATATATCAATTAATTTCTGTCTACATTTGATTGCTGACTTTACATGTAGCGCCATATATTGGAAAACGATTTAACAAAATAATGAACTAAATATAATTTTTACAAAAGAGGATATAATTTTTAAAATATATATACAGTGGTACCTCGGTATACGTCTGCTTTAGAATACGTCAAATTCGGAATACGTTCTGTTTGGACGAAACAAATTTTGTTCGGTATACGACTTAATTCAATTATACGCGCCATCTATGAACAAGTAGCACTATCGGTATACTAGACCAGACTAGACGTTCACTGTGCCACAGTTTATAACTTTGTTAAATTTCTTCTGATTTTAATTTGTAAGTAAAATTTTATTATTTTTATTAATCATGAATTGCAAAACGGCAAATGAAAAGCAACAGAAAACTAAAAAAA